GAACCAAAGGAAACTAGAAGGAATGAATTAATGCAAGTAGAAGCAGAAACATGCGACAGAAAAAAAGAGGTTGATAAATTAAACCAAAAGATAATTCTTGACAAGACCAATAAAATCAAGAAAACTCCCAGAAATATTATTTTTAAAATATAGAGAAAGAGAACATAAACAACATAAGGAATGAAAAAGGAACTATAAAGACACGGAACAGTTTAACAAAATCAGAAGAGACTCCTATGTAACTTGATACCAATACATTATCAAATCTAGGGATAGTAAATAGCTTTCTATGAAAACATAGACCAAAATATAGACCAAAAATACATCAATATTTACTGAAGAAGAGGTAGAAAAATCTGAATCAACTGATGATCATAGACAATATTGATAGTTATTTAGTAGTCTCCCTAAATGCACCAGAACCCCCAAAACATTAAAAACTTCTGAACTCATGGCTGATTTTATACTTACACCCAAAGTAGGAAAAGATACAAAAGAACACACATCACATGTACACACAAGAGAACTAGACATGAAACTTGTGTGTGATATTGGTGTTTCATTGCCTTGAATCTCTCTATGGAAGCTTGGGCAGGTGGAGGGAAGTTTTGTCTTTGTTCCTTCACCCTCCCTCTACTCATCTCTAGTATCTGGAGGAGCAGCAGGTGACAAAGAGAAGCAATGGACCAAATAGAAGAAAATATCAACGAATAGGTCAGACCTATGAAAAGAATTGGCAATTAGCATTTGTGCTAATAATACAGATGTGCACACATCTTACCCATAAATGTTTCTTTGGGGCCCAGGTAGCATCACAATCATCCTAATCCAGTGTCTGCACCTTTCTCCAAGCAGACTTATATCCCCAGAATCCTGGCCCATGATCAGACCCTACAGAACATGCCTTTACCTTGTGTCCACAGGCAGCTCACCGAGATCACTTTGCATATAGTCCCATGGCAGTTCTACTGCACCCAGGTAGTATCTTCTGGTGGCACTAAAGCAGAATCGCAAAAGGCACAGAAAGAAGCAGGTGGGGAGCTCTATTTGCATGACTTATTGCTACAAATGTTCAACTGGAGAAGCAAAAGGTTAATTCTTCTTAAAAATATCTTTAGCTCCCAGGAGAGGAAAAAGTAAAATTTCTGATTTAGTGAAAAGTCCCAATTTCTTCGCAGAGACTTTTAGGGAACTTTACCCACTGGATGTGCTTAGCACTAAGTAGTAAGCGATAGAATTGCTTCCTTTTTGTCAGTGGGAAGCAGCCACAGGAAGAACTGAAGCAGGAAAAGGGAGGCTGAGCTAAACTTAACCCATTCACTTCTGAGAGCAGTAGGGGCATGAGAAGTCTGTTTTAATCAGAACCTTTAAGGAAAGGAAGACAAGGGTAGAGAGTCAAAGTGAACAGGAGTTTTAAAAACCACAATTTATAGTTACAATTTAAAACCATAAAGCGAGTTCTGTCACTCCTCTTCTCAGAATCCTCCAATGGCTTCCGACCTCAGTCAGAGTAAAATCCTACGTCTTTATCCTGGCCTAGGCCCCAAACTATGGCCCGCGGGCTGCGGGCCGCGGGCCGCATGCAGCCCCCTGAGGCCATTTATCCGGCCCCCCGCCGCACTTCAGGAAGGGGCACCTCTTTCATTGGTGGTCAGTGAGAGGAGCACAGTATGTGGCGGCCCTCCAACGGTCTGAGGGACAGTGAACTGGCCCCCTGTGTAAAAAGTCTGGGGACGCCTGCCCTAGAGTATCCCACATGGTTTGCGAGACAGGCGTGTTCTAGGTGCTTTTAAATACAGCTGCTTAATTTTATGGATGTTGAAACTTAAGCACGGAGAGGTTAGGCAAGTTCCTCATGGCCACACAGCTTGTTACCGTTAGCATTCGAATCCATGTACTCTGGCTCCAGAAGTCATGTTCGTAACCACTATGCTATATTTCTGTAATTGGGTCTTGGGATGGGATGGGGCTCACCTCCTCCCCTCCATTTGATGTGCCAGAGGTCCTTGGGCTTCCTCGCCCCAGGAATGGGGAAGAGGCCATGGCGGCAAGGTGAGCTTACCGGCTAAGTAAGTATTGGACCCAAAGAGTTTTGCAGAGAGCGATTAGGCAGGGAGAGAGAGAAGCAGAGCAAGCTCCGACAATGTTGTGGGAGGGGATCCCAGAGAGGGAAATCCGCGCAGGTAAGGTGCAGTGGAGTTTTAACTTTGAAGTTATTCCCGCCCCATTTATGTTCTCCTCCAGTGACAGGAGTTCTTTTAAACGTCCTCTGGAGTGATTGATTGATCTTTGACTCCGATATTGGATTGGCTGCTTGGCCCGCAATTTAGCCCCTCCTTCTAGGGCTTTTGGCGGGCTTTCTGAACAAAGGACGCTTACCTGGAATTTTACCTAGCCCGCGTGCAGGAAAGTTAGACAAAGAACTCTAGGTTCCTGGATGGGGAGGTGGATGGGGGCATGGCGCTGGGAAGTTCTTGCCTTTGAAACCACGCCCCCTGTAGACCCCGGAAGAGAAGTTAACATACTCCCTCACTTCTATGCCTCAGAAATGAAGAAATCCCAGTTCCTGACACCCTGGGAAATCACAGTCCAGTGGAGGAGACAGACAAGTAGACAGTTACAGTACAGGGTGATAAATTCTCTGCCAGGTGCTACACATATGCCGTCTGATTTAATCCTCATAACAACACTGCAAAGTGGATACAGATAAAGCAACTGAGGTACAGAGAGGTTAAATGGCTTGCCTACAGCCACAGAATTACCCATGTGTCCTAGACAGATATTTTCCTAGGCACTGGGTACACACTGATGAAAAACATAACCAACTGAAAGAGGGATAAGTAAAAATTATGCAGTGTGTTAGGAGGTAAAATAAGTGCTGTGCAAAAAAGAGAAACGGGGTAAAGGGGAGTAGGGGTGGGCCAGGTTGCAATTTTGAAAGAGGTCATGGAAAGTCTCCCTAAGGTTGCATTTCAACAGAGGGACTTTGACTTCTACACTGAGGGCAATGAGGAGACACAGTCGGGTTCTAAGTAGAGGAGGCTGGTGATCAGAATTATGTTTTAGGCTGATCGTTCTGAACACGGCAGACACAACAAACTATAGCGGGACAAGGGTAGACGGAGGGTGACCTGTTAACTGGGGGTGAGAATTGGTGGCGGCTTGAGCTATGATGGTACCACTGGAGAGGGTGAAAAGTGGCTGGATTCATTGTGAACGTAAAGTTTGTGGGAGCTGCTGATGAATTCTGGATCTGTGGGCTTTGAGAGGAAAAAATTTGGTACACCAAGGTGTTTTGAATAGTAAAGTTGACTAACTGGGATGGGGATAACTGCAAGAGTAGCTTAGGCGCCCTTAGGGCAACATACCTGTCACTCTTCCCAGTGCCTTGGCACACTGTTAAAGGGCTCCTTTCTTATTTGTAGCGATTACAATGGTTTTACAATGTGTCTTCCAGACAAGTACAGGTACAATCCAACATGTTTAAAGTTCTACAGTAAATACTATAATTAATAATCTGGGTGGGAATGTTGATCAGGAATGAAATACAATTTAAAAATTAACAAAGTAATGAGTCACAGGCTATATTGATACAAGCACTTTTTAAGGAATAACATTCTCTAGCCCAAGGGCTTATTTGATTGAAAAATTTTATCGATTTTTGTTTTGTTTTGTTTTGAGACGGAGTCTCGCTCTGTTGCCCACACTGGAGTGCAGTGGCACGGTATTGGCTCACTGCAACCTCCACCTCCTGGATTCAAGCAATTCTCTGTCTCAGCCTCTCGAGGAGCTGGGATTATAGGCACCTGTCCCCACGCCTGGTTAATTTTTTTTGTTAGAGAGGAGGCTTCACCTTGGCTAGTCTGGTCTTGACCTCCTGACCTCGTGATCGACCTGCCTCGGCCTCCCACAGTGCTGGGATTATTAAATTTTAAATAGAATAGACTCCATTTCCAAATTTTTATGTTTTCAGGGATTCTCTAAAACCTACAATATTATCAACTACATATTCACAAATAATTACAGCATACAAAACAATATGGTATTGTGGTACAAGAGAATTGCAAAAAGAGTACTGTGACCATTTGTGGTAAATAGAAACCGTAAACTGGAAATCTTCTTAGATAAGGTATATTTTTATTTTATTTTTACTCAACTATTATGGTGCTACAAAATCCTATATTAAGCAGTATAGTTGAAAAGGAAAACAACGATAGCATCATGATTACAAAGAAAATAGCTGGAGTTACTTCAATTGTGTCACTCCTAAGGCAGTGGATCAAATAATGTCAATGTTTATTATTATTCAGTAATTACATTTATAAATACATTTTAAAAGTAAAGGAAAAGACTCGCTGCTTTAACATAATAGAAATTGCTGCTGGATTTTCTGTTGATATATTTTGAAGTGAGTTTTATTAAATATAACTCACATGTAGTAAAATTCAAAAGAAAAATTAAATACATAGGCTGGGTGTGTTGGTTCACGCCTGTAATCCCAGCACTTTGGGAGGCCAAGGCGAGTGGATTATCTGAGGTCAGGAGTTCGAGACCAGCCTGGCCAATATGGCGAAACCCTGTCTGTACTAAAAATAGAAAAGTTAGCCGGGTGTGGTGGAGGGTGCCTGTAATGCCAGCTACTTGGGAGGCTGAGGCAGGAGAATCGCTCGAACCTGGGAAGCGGAAGTTTCAGTGAGACAAAATCGCGCCACTTGCACTTCAGCCTGGGCGACAGAGCAAGACTCCATCTAAAATAAATAAATAAATAAATAAAATAAAGAAAGAAAGAAAACAAAAATTCAATACACAAATGTGTCTTCTTCCACTGAAAGAGTCGGGAACATCGCAGGAGCCGATAAATATTTGCTTGATGTTTACATGAACAAACACGGTCTCTCAGCCGTCTTTATTTTCAGTGAGTCACAGGTAGAATATTCGTAACCAGGCAAGTATTGAGGATTGAGTCAGAGTCGAGTCAGGAACTCGCCTCCAGGTACTTGGCGAGCCAGTTCCCACGGCCAGGGTCGGTAGGGCTTGGCAGACTGGGGGGGAGTGGGGGAGGGAGCCTCAGCCCCTGGGAGGCTCTCTGCGCACGCGCGTCTCGGCGCATCAGTTGGGCGTGGCTGCAGGGCTTGTGACACAGTCCGCTGAGCTCTGTGACGCAGCTGCTAGCTGAGACGGGAAGCGGCCGCCGCGCCCCCGGCCCGCCCTCTTCCGCCGCCGCCGTGGGAATGGAAACATCTGTCCCACGTGCCGGAAGCCAAGTGGTGGCGACAACTGCGCGCCACTCCGAGTCCTACCGCGCAGATTCTCTCCGTGTGTCCTCGCGAGACGAGCTCCTCGAAATGGCTGCGTCCAGTCAAGGTAAGGGCAGGCGCGCGCGTGGCCAGCGCCGCGGGGAGCCGCCTTCCTGGGCTCCGGAAGGGGAAGGGCTCTGCTCCCGCCAGTGCCGACTGAGCTCCCCGGGGAGCCCGAGTGGCACGGGGACGGGGAGGACCCTCGGGGCTCCCCCTGGCCTAGCAGCTCCTAGGGTCCGGTCAAGGTCACACGCATGTCTGGGGCCTAACCACCCAGGGGTGTCGTCTCCAGTGGACCTCACCCAGCCTTCCGGCGCCGCCCCCGGCAGCTAAAGCCCGCAGACAGTCTGTTTCTGTTCTCAGAATCGGTGTCGCTTCTTTGTCCCTTTGGACGTTCATCTCAAATGCCTCGTGGCGTCATTCTGTGTACAAGGCGCCTCCCCAACGGCATTATTGATGGTTTTGAAAAACTAGCATATATGGGATGGTACTTAGGAATACCCTTTTGTTTAGTCGGCATAGTCGAAGGAGGATTTTGTGTAATTCGCGGTAGAGCACGTCTTTAAGTTATGCTTCTTACCATGTTTTGAATGCTTACTGACTCACATGATCCCATTGCTAAACAGAGTCATCGAAAACTCATTTATATACACTTAAAATTATAAATTATGTTAAAAACAAAAGCAGTGAAGATACTAAATACTTATCGCTTTTATTATTTACCATGTTTTATTGATACTTTGCTTTTGAGGTTATTTATGCATTTGTTGCATCTGTGTGGAGGAGATACTATACTATGGTGCTCTACTGTGTATCACTTCCCAACTCTGAGTTCAGTGGTGTCACAATTCAGTTATGTCACGCTCACGTCACAATGAATGAATACACAATGGAAATTGTCTGCACTACAAATCAGCCCCTGCCTAAAGCCGACTGTTAAGGATTTTACCAGCACACCACTAAATTTTAGATGACTCTAGGAAGGTAGAATGTACAATGTGATAATTATGTATTTTTCTGTAGAGCAGACCGCTCTTAATTGACTTTAAACATATAGGTTGATCAGGTATTTGCACCTAGGAGATTGTTGTGAGAAATTTTGAGGTTAAGATGAATTTCAATTGTTATCACAGTGATGATCACATAATACTGTGATCATTGATTTCCTGGGCTCATAAACGTGGCTAGTGACTGACTTTTGTCTATCGTAGTGCTTAGCAGTGTTTGACCAATGACTGACTTAATTAAGGTCAAACCTTACTAGTGTTTGACCAATGACTGACCAAGTATCTCGCATTTAATCCACCTCTCCCTCTCCCCTTTTTAGGGACTAGATGTGTCATTCAGGCTAGAGTGCAGTGGCACAATCATAGCTCACTGCAGTCCCAAACTCCTGGGCTCAATCTGAGCTCAAGTGATCCTCCCACCTCAGTCTGTAATTCCCCTTTTTGACTGGAGCCACTTGTTGATCTAAGGGGCTTGGTCAAATTACATTAAAACAAAACTGAAAATTAAAAAAAATAAACTGAAAACTCATTCTCGTTTTCAGTAATATTCTTTAACCTAGGAATAGAGTTTCTTTAACATAACTGTCATGTTTTGTTGTTACATTAGAAAAATAAACTACCTGTGAGGCCATAGAGTACCCGGATACTCAAACATCCATGTTTTGTTCTGCTAAATGGGCGTCTGTAATGTATCTTGAATGAATTCTTGAATTATATTTTGTGTATGGTTTAAGGTAGAGGTTGAGAGTAGGTTTTTTTTTTTAAACACAAATATCTAGTACTTCTAACATCATTTGTTGTTTCCTTCATTGAATTACCTTGGTGCTATGTTATTACAAATCAAATGACTATATGTGTGTATCTATTTCTGGATTCTCTTCCATTGCTATATTTGGGTATCCTTGGGTCAGTTCGACAGTGTTGAATGTCATAGCTTTATAAGTCTTGAAATTAAGATAGTTACATATTATACTGTAGCTTTTTTTTTTTTTTTTTTGAGACGGAGTTTCGCTCTTGTTACCCAGGCTGGAGTGCAATGGCGCGATCTCGGCTCACCGTAACCTCCGCCTCCTGGGTTCAGGCAATTCTCCTGCCTCAGCCTCCTGAGTAGCTGGGATTACAGGCATGCACCACCATGCCCAGCTAATTTTTTGTATTTTTAGTAGAGACGGGGTTTCACCATGTTGACCAGGATGATCTTGATCTCTTGACCTTGTGATCCACCCGCCTCAGCCTCCCAAAGTGCTGGGATTACAGGCTTGAGCCACCGCGCCCGGCCCTATTTTCTAGTTCATTTCTAATACATAAAAATTCAAATGACTTTTTAATATTGGTCTTATAATCTGTAACCTTGCTTCTGGTAGCTTTTTGTAGATTTTTCTGGGTTTTCTACATATACAAGTCATATTAGCTGCCAATGAAGACAAAATTATTATTGTACCTGCTTTCTAATTTCTTTTCTTTTTTTTGCACTGGCTAGGAACTCCAGTACAGTGCTGGGCGAGGTGGCTCAGACCTGTAATCCCAGCACTTTGGGAAGCTAAGGAGGGAGGATCACTTGGGGCTAGGAGTTCCACACCAGCCTGGGCAACAAAGTGAGACCTCCTGTCTACAAAAAAAAAAAAATCAGCTGGCCACAGTGGTGCATGGCTGTAGTCCAGCTACTGGGGACGCTGAGGTGGAAGGATTGCTTGAGCCCAGAGGTTTGAAGTTGCAGTAATCTGTGATACTGCCACTGCACTCCAACGTGAGTGACAAAGTGAGACCCTGTCTCAAAAAAAAAAAAAAAAAAAAAAAAACTAGTTGAATAGATTTTAGGGGAAGGAAACTGTTCCATATTTCACCATTAAGTATGATGTTAGTTGTATATTTTTCATTGATGTCCTATATCAGATTGAAGAAATTCCCTTCTATTCCTGTTTTCTACTTTGTAATTCTGATTTTTGTCTTTGATTTTGAAAGTATAAAATTTCTGTAATTATTATTTTGTACAGTAAGTATTCATTTAGATTTATTCACCTATTTACCCATTCCAATGCCTGTCATTTCTTTCTGCATTTCCAAACTTCTTGTGGCATCATTTCTTGTCTGCCTGAATAACTTTAGTGAACCTCTGACTGTAACTTCTATACCATTCTTTCTAATCTTTTGGAACTCCGATTACATATGTGTTTAATCTTTTGAACATTTTTTGAACATTGTTATTTGCTTACTTCAGTATCTTGATCATCTCTGGTTCTGCTTCTCTTTCTTTTTATTTTCTTTTTTCTTTCTTCAACCTTCACCACCTGCATTCAAGTGATTTTCTTGTCTTAGCCTCCCAAGTAGCTGGGACTACAGGCGTACACCACCACACCCAGCTAATTTTTGTATTTTTAGTAGAGATGGGGGTTTCACCATGTTGGCCAGGCTGGTCTTGAACTACTGACTTCAAGTGATCCTCCTGCCTGGGCTTTCCAAAGTGTTGGTATTACAGGTGTGAACCACTGCGCCCGGCCTGCTTCTATTTCTTTTATTTAAACAATTTTTTTTCCTTTATATGACTTTGCCTTTGCATGGGTACTAGTAATTTTCTATTGTTTATTACGTTATGTGTGAAAAGATTGTACAGACTTCATCCTAGATGAAGTTGATCATTTGAGGTCAATTTTACAGTAAACAGCTTTGAATAGTAAATTGCTGACATTTCATGTCAGACATTTCTTAGTGTGGTATGTTTCCAGGGAAACAAGACTGGGTATAGTAGGGAAGCCTGACGTTATCTTTCCATAGAGAAAGGGAATGACATTTTTTTTTTTTTTTTTTTTTTGAGACGGAGTTTTGCTCTTGTTACCCAGGCTGGAGTGCAATGGCGTGATCTCGGCTCACCACAACCTCCGCCTCCTGGGTTCAGGCAATTCTGCCTCAGCCTCCTGAGTAGCTGGGATTACAGACATGTGCCACCATGCCCAGCCAATTTTTTTGCATTTTTAGTAGAGACAGGTTTTCACCATGTTGACCAGGATGGTCTCGATCTCTTGACCTCGTGATCCACCCGCCTCGGCCTCCCAAAGTGCTGGGATTACAGGCTTGAGGCACCGCGCCCGGCCGACATTTTAATTCTTTCTTCATACTTGGCCAAATCACTTAACTTCTGAGCCTTTGTTTCTGGATTGTAAAATCGAGTTAATAAGTACTACCCACCTTATTCTGTGGATTTAATTACATATACATGTTTAATGCTTAGCACAGTGCCTGGTAAATAGTAAGAGCTCAATTAAACATTACCTCTCACCTTTGTTATCACTGGAGATCCATGTAGTACTGAGAAAATTTGTGGATTACTGAATAGCATTGAGTTACTCCTGAAGAGAAGGGGCAAATGAAGAAAATTTGTTTCATTTGGGATGTATTACTGACACTTTTTTGTAGGTCTTTTTGGTTTTATTTATTTATTTATTTGAGATGGAGTCTCATTCTTTGGCCCAGGCTGGAGTGAAGCAGCACTATCTTGGCTCACTGCAACCTTCGCCTCCTGGGTTGGAGCGATTCTTGTGCCTCAGCCTTTCGACTAGTTGGGATTACAGGCACCTGCCACCATGCCCTGTTAATTTTTATAGTTTGGCCGGGCGCGGTGGCTCAAGCCTGTAATCCCAGCACTTTGGGAGGCCGAGGCCGGTGGATCACGAGGTCGAGAGATCGAGACCATCCTGGTCAACATGGTGAAACCCTGTCTCTACTAAAAATACAAAAAATTAGCTGGGCATGGTGGCATGTGCCTGTAATCCCAGCTACTCAGGAGGCTGAGGCAGGAGAATTACCTGAACCCGGGAGGCGGAGGTTGCGATGAGCCAAGATTGTGCCATTGCACTCCAACCTGGATAACAAGAGCGAAACTCCGTCTCAAAAAAAAAAAAAATTTATAGTTTTAGTAGAGATGGGGTTTTGTCATGTTGGTCAGGCTGGTTTTGAACTCCTGACCTGGTAATCTGCTCACCTCGCCTGCCAAGGTGCTGGGATTAACAGGTGTGAGCCACCGTGCCTGACCTTTTTGGTTATTTTTAAATTTGAGAGGAAAAATCTGAGGACTAATTCTAGATTTTCTAGATTTTTCCCTTTAATATAGACATTAGTATTTGCCTGATTTTAGTATGATTTTCAAAAATTGCAACTTAGAATTTCAGAGTAAATTTACTATTTAAAATAGAATGATATTTGGAGGTTTCTGATTGCATCTATCTCTGTTTCTTTAAGTATCTCTTAATCTATTTAGGCATGGTAGTGATTTGTTATAAAAGTAAATATTTTCTTATTTAACATATTACTTCTTGTAGGAAACTTTGAGGGAAATTTTGAGTCACTGGACCTTGCAGAATTTGCTAAGAAGCAGCCATGGTGGCGTAAGCTATTCGGGCAGGAATCTGGACCTTCAGCCGAAAAGTATAGTGTGGCAACTCAGCTGTTCATTGGAGGTGTCACTGGATGGTAAGTGATGTGAAAGATGTCCACTGTCTTTTGTGCATGATTTAGTATTGCAGTTATAGGTGCCATCTTCTTTAACCAATGAAAACACATTGGCTTTTGTGAAATTGGTCACTTAAAGTACCATTTAATGGTTACACACAATGAGTGTTTGCTATATGCCAGGTACTGTTTGAAGTATTTACATAGGTATCTCATTTTCTTCTTACAACTCTGGAATTAGTACTGTTATTTTCTATCCTAGTTTTCTAAAAACCAAGGCCTAGAAAGGTTAATTTGCCCAAGGCCACATAGCTGGTGACTGGTAGAATGAAGAGCTAACTACTTATTAGCTATGTCAGATGATAAATTAATGTGATACAGCTTATGGTTTCATTTGTAATAAATTCAAAAAGTGTTAATAGCAAATTTCATAGGTGAATATCGAATCCATTAATCTCATAATCTCTTTACATTTGAAAAATTTTATAGCACGATATAGCAAATATGAAACAGTGCATATAAAGGTGTACATTTTAGTAAATACTTAGAGTGAACATCTGTGTTAACAACTGCTCAGGTTAAAAAAAATATGGCTAGCCTCCTAGAAATTCTAGAGGTTGTTAAGCATTGCTTTTGTTTATAGTTTTTTTTTTTTTTTTTTTTTTTTCAGAATGGCTATTATTTTTTATTATTATTTTTTTAATTGCATTTTAGGTTTTGGGGTACATGTGATGAACATGCAAGATTGTTGCATAGGTACACACATGGCAGTGTGCTTTGCTGCCTTCCGTCCCCTCACCTGTATCTGTCATTTCTCCCCATGCTCTCTCTTCCCACCTCCCCACCCCCCACCCCTCCCCCATTTCCCCCCAACGGACCCCAGTGTGTAGTGCTCCCCTCCCTGTGTCCATGTGTTCTCATTGTTCAACACCCGCCTATGAGCGAGAATATACGGTGTTTGATTTTCTGCTCTTGTGTCAGTTTGCTGAGAATGATGGTTTCCAGGTTCATCCATGTCCCTACAAAGGACGTGAACTCATCGTTTTTGATGGCTGCATAATATTCCATGGTGTATATGTACCACATTTTCCCTATCCAGTCTATCATGGTTGGGCATTTGGGTTGGTTCCAGGTCTTTGCTATGGTAAACAGTGCCGCAATGACCATTCGTGTGCACGTGTCCTTGTAGTAGAATGATTTATAATCCTTTGGATATATACCCAGTAATGGGATTGCTGGGTCAAATGGGATTTCTATTTTTAGGTCCTTGAGGAATCGCCACACTGTCTTCCACAATGGTTGAATTAATTTACATTCCCACCAACAGTGTAAAAGTGTTCCTATTTCTCCACATCCTCTCCAGCATCTGTTGTTTCCCGATTTTTTAATGATCGCCATTCTAACTGGTGTGAGATGGTATCTCAATGTGGTTTTGATTTGCATTTCTCTGATGACCAGGGATGATGAGCATTTTTTCATATGTTTGTTGGCCTCCTGTATGTCTTCTTTTGTAAAGTATCTGTTCATATCCTTCGCCCATTTTTGAATGGGCTTGTTTGTTTTTTTCTTGTAGATCTGCTTTAGTTCTTTGTAAATTCTTGATATCAGCCCCTGGTCAGATGGGTAGACTGCAAAAATTTTTTCCCATTCTGTTGGTTGCCGATTCACTCTACTGACTGTTTCTTTTGCCGTGCAGAAGCTGTGGAGTTTGATTAGGTCCCATTTGTCTATTTTGGCTTTTGTTGCCATTGCTTTTGGCATTTTGGTCATGAAGTCCTTGCCTACACCTATGTCCTGAATGGTTTTGCCTAGATTTTCTTCTAAGGTTTTTATGGTATTAGGTCTGATGTTTAAGTCTTTAATCCATCTGGAGTTAATTTTGGTGTAAGGTGTCAGGAAGGGGTCCTGTTTCTGCTTTCTGCACATGGCTAGCCAGTTTTCCCAACACCATTTATTAAACAGGGAGTCCTTTCCCCATTGCTTGTTTTTGTCAGGTTTGTCGAAGATCAGATGGTTGTGGGTATGTTGTATTTCCTCTGAGGCCTCTGTTCTGTTCCATTGGTCTATATCTCTGTTTTGGTACCAGTACCATGCTGTTTTGATTACTGTAGCCTTGTAGTATAGTTTGAAGTCCGGTAGTGTGATGCCTCCTGCTTTGTTCTTTTTGCTTAGAATTGACTTGGCTATGCGGGCTCTCTTTTGGTTCCATATGAAGTTTCAGGTGTTTTTTTCCAGTTCTGTGAAGAAGGTCATTGGTAGCTTGATGGGAATAGCGTTGAATCTGTCAATTACTTTGGGCAGTATGGCCATTTTCACGATGTTGATTCTTCCTAACCATGAACATGGAATGTTTCTCCATCTGTTTGTATCCTCTCTTATTTCGTTGAGCAATGGCTTGTAGTTCTCCTTGAAGAGGTCCTTTACGTTCCTTGTTAGTTGTATTCCTAGGTACTTTATTCTCTTTGTAGCAATTGTGAATGGCAGTTCGTTCTTGATTTGGCTCTCTTGAAGTCTATTACTGGTGTATAGGAATGCTTGTGATTTTTGCACGTTGATTTTATATCCTGAGACTTTGCTGAAGTTGTTTATCAGTTTCAGGAGATTTTGGGCTGAGATGATGGAGTCTTCCAGATATACAATCATGTCATCTGCAAATAGAGACAATTTGATTTCCTCCTTTCCAATTTGGATACCCTTTATTTCTTTTTCTTGCCTGATTGCTCTGGCTAGAACTTCCAGTACTATATTGAATAGGAGTGGTGAGAGAGGGCATCCTTGTCTAGTGCCAGATTTCAAAGGGAATGCTTCCAGTTTTTGCCCATTCAGTATGATATTGGCTGTTGGTTTGTCGTAAATAGCTTTTATTGTTTTGAGATACATTCCGTCAATACCTAGTTTATTGAGGGTTTTTAGCATAAAGGGTTGTTGAATTTTGTCAAAAGCCTTCTCTGCATCAATCGAGATAATCATGTGGTTTTTGTCTTTGGTTCTGTTTATGTGGTGAATTACGTTTATGGACTTGCGTATGTTGAACCAGCCTTGCATCCCCGGGATGAATCCTACTTGATCATGGTGGATGAGCTTTTGGATATGCTGTTGCAATCGGTTTGCCAGTATTTTATTGAAGATTTTTGCATCTATGTTCATCATGGATATTGGCCTGAAATTTTCTTTTCTTGTTGAGTCTCTGCCGGGTTTTGGTATCAGGATGATGTTTGTCTCATAAAATGGTTTGGGAAGGATTCCCTCTTTTTGGATTGTCTGGAATAGTTTCAGAAGGAATGGTATCAGCTCCTCCTCGTATGTCTGGTAGAATTCAGCTGTGAACCCATCTGGACCTGGGCTTTTTTTGGGTGGTAGGCTCTTTATTGCTGCCTCGACTTCAGACCATGTTATTGGTCTATTCAGGGTTTCGGCTTCTTCCAGGTTTAGGCTTGGGAGGATGCAGGTGTCCAGGAATTTATCCATTTCTTCCAGGTTTACTAATTTATGTGCATAGAGTTGTTTATAATAATCTCTGATGATGGTTTGGATTTCTGTGGAATCTGTGGTGATATCCCCTTTATCGTTTTTTATTGCATCAATTTGGTTATTCTCTGTTTTCTTTTTTATTAATCTGGCTAGTGGTCTGTCTATTTTGTTGATCTTTTCAAAAAACCAGCTCCTGGAATTATTGATTTTTTTGAAGAGTTTTTTGTGTCTCTGTTTCCTTCAGTTCTGCTCTGATCTTAGTTATTTCCTGTCTTCTGCTAGGTTTTGAGTTTTTTTGATCTTGCTCCTCTAGCTCTTTCAATTTTGATGATAGGGTGTCAATTTTAGATCTCTCCTTTCTTCTCATGTGGGCACTCATTGCTATATATTTTCCTCTAGAGACTGCTTTAAATGTGTCCCAGAGATTCTGGTATGTTGTGTCTTCGTTCTCATTGGTTTCGAAGAACATCTTTATTTCTGCCTTCATTTCATTGTTTATCCAGTCAACATTCAAGAGCAAGTTGTTCAGTTTCCATGAAGCTGTGCGGTTCTGAGTTAGTTTCTGCATTCTGAGTTCTAACTCGATTGCACTGTGGTCTGAGAGACTGTTTGTTATGATTTCTGTTCTTTTGCATTTGCTGAGGAGTGATTTATTGCCAATTATGTGGTCAGTTTTAGAGTAGGTGTGATGTGGTGCTGAGAAGAATGTATATTCTGTGGATTTGGGGTGGAGAGTTCTGTAAATGTCTATTAGGTTTGCTTGTTCCAGGTCTGTATTCAGGTCCTGGATATCCTTGTTGATTTTCTGTCTGGTTGATCTGTCTAATATTGACAATGGGGTGTTAAAGTCTCCCACTATTATTGTGTGGGAGTCTAAGTCTCTTTGTAAGTCATTAAGAACTTGCCTTATGTATCTGGGTGCTCCTGTATTGGGTGCGTATATATTTAGGATCGTTAGCTCTTCTTGTTGCAGTGATCCTTTTACCATTATGTAATGTCCTTCTTTGTCTCTTTTGATCTTTGTTGCTTTAAAGTCTATTTTATCAGAGATGAGAATTGCAACTCCTGCCTTTTTTTGCTCTCCATTTGCTTGGTAGATCTTCCTCCATCCCTTTATTTTGAGCCTTTGTGTATCCTTGCATGTAAGATGGGTTTCCTGGATACAGCACACTGATGGGTTTTGGCTTTTTATCCAATTTACCAGTCTGTGTCTTTTGATTGGGGCATTTAGTCCATTGACATTTAGGGATAGTATTGTTATATGTGAATTTGATGCTGTCATTTTGATGCTACCTGGCTGTTTTGTTGGTTAGTTGATGCAGATTCTTGATTGTGTTGATGCTCTTTTACCATTTGGTGTGTTTTGGAGTGGCTGGTACTGGTTGTTCCTTTATATGTGTAGAGCCTCTTTCAGGAGTTCTTGTAGGGCAGGTTTGGTGGTGATGAAATCTCTGAGTGCTTGCTTGTTCACAAAGGATTTTATTTTTCCTTCACTTATGAAGCCTAGTTTGGCTGGATAGGAGATTCTGGGTTGAAAGTTCTTTTCTTTA